ATTTATTACTAAAATAGCATTTTACATATCCATTCATACCAACACAACATATTGAGTACAACATTTGGAGCGACGTAAATATGTGTCATGAATCTATGATATATGATAGCGTGCATATCTAATTATTTGTAGCGTATAATCGTATCATATAAAATTATGTCTATGATAACAAAACCAACTCTACATTTTATAATAGCAGTAAAAAAATTTTACATTTAAGCCTGTTGTTTATTCGAGTGTTCCCACCCTACGTATGGTCATGCAAATGTAAAATAATGAGAATAGCGTAAAAAAAAATAGTAAATACAAGAAAAGCAGAGAATAATATGAAGGCAAAGTAACACAAGAGAAGCAGAGAAATATAAATAGAGATAATAGTAATAATATAAGAGCAAAGAAAATTTATATAGCAGAGAATAATAATAGTCAAAATAATATTTTATCTTTTTATTCGGAACGACTATGTATAATAATATGACGAGCTATAATAGGAAACGTTAATATATGCAATATACATTATACATATAGTATACGATAAGAAATTTTATGTTAAGTTGTTAATAATTATCAAAAGAGCAATAGCATATGTAGTCTCGTTAACGTTAGCTAATTCAGGTATTTAATTTGGGCTGATAACTGTTGCGCGCCAACGCGAGATATTTTACTTAAAAACGAATACATCGATGACCATTTAAAAGAAACATTCGTTGATACACTTTTTGCCATGTCCAAGAAGTCAGCTGAACATACAGTCATACATACTTCCCGGCTGTTAGTGGATCGATCCGTCTGTGCTTTCGTGCATTTTGCATTTTATCGAACGGTCTCCACCAGACCGCACGCGTGCGTGACGGATGTCTTCTATATTTACACGTGCGTGCGTCGGGGACTCGCATTCGTGAAACGGCCAGAAAACGGTCACGACTCTTACGTCAACGGCTTGCACGACGGCGGTGTGATGTGTGATAGTTACATGGTTACCCCCGTCGCTTGCATCTTTTAACCTTAACCCGGTTTCGCACCTCGCACACGGTAGCAGTAGATAAGTAAATGGTCAACTTTACGCGTATGAAGCTGTCGCGCGAAGACGAGTGAAAAATATTAGCAAAAATGGCATTATTTACTGTTGCATCTCATGTCTGTATTCGCGTAATTCCTCGTACACGGCCGATTCTATCTACAATGTTGTCTAAGGTTGGCAACGTTATCTTATAAAAATAACTCGTTACCGTTACCGTTCTTTTTCCTAAAAAGTAACTCGTTACTGTTATCGTCATTCAAAATGTAATGAGTCGTTACTTTTTCGTTACTTTTTTTTCTTGACACCAATAGAATATTAATGCAGATTTTTGCGGTAAATATAAAAAAGATGTCAAATAACACAAATATTATGTAAGAGAATAAATACAAAGAAAGGTAACATCGACACAGTTTGTAAACATAACGTGGGAACATATTTTTTTTTAGAAAATTAATATTTATGATATGTTAAATTAAGACATATTTTATTAATTTGTCTTAGAATTTATGTTTTAAATACATTATTATTTTTGTTACTTGTTCACTTACGCATAAATTGTGTCATTTTGACACTAAGAAATATTGAATATCAATTTCACAAAAAATCTTTAAATAACATAATCACATTATGTTGAATTAACACTCGAATATGTTAAAAAATTCAACACAAATTGTTAACACAAACATGAGTGGACCATTTCCAACATAAATACACAAATTTTTTTACTATGTAGTTATGACTAAAACTTTTACGTGGCTAAAAATAAAGTAACGATAAAAGTAACTAGTGAAATCGTTACCATTATCCCAAAAATGTAACTACGTCATCATGTACTCAGAAGAAAATGTAACGTCGTTACCCATTCGTTACCGAAAAAAGTAACTTGTAAGGGTAACGATGTTATAAGTAACGCGTTACTTGCACTGGTTGTAACAATGTGGTCCTACGTGTTTCCCATTTTTTGCCTCCATTTTGCGTGTATGAAAAACCACGTTTGTTATTTTTATAATATAATAATATAAAGATTAGAGAAATTTATAGATAAAAAGAAAGAACATTGCAGACGAGATATAGCTGATAATTTCATTTCTTCAAAATTATTTAGGTATAAAATATATTAGATATAATGAATATACTTTCTAATTATATATATATTTTTTTATATTTAATACTACACTTTATATGTTTATAATTTCTAAAAAATTTTTGATATACATGGAGAACATTTTTTCTTAAAGTTTACCCTGAAAATATGGTAGTCGTGGAACAACATTGTATTTCGAAGAATTTTATGTAAACCTCTTTCATTCACTCTAATAAAACTACACAATAAAATATAAATTAAGTCTGATTAATTTTACTGAAATGCATGGTAAAAATCTTTAAAATATTGTATTGTACCACAACTACCATATTTTCAAGATAAATTTTAAAAGAAAATTCTTCCCATGTATAATATTTATATACATATATAAATGTAAATTTTTGAAATTCGATTAACTAAATATTATTGAATTATTTATATAGATTTGTTTTTGCGAACGAAACTTTAAACTTTCTTTCTTGAGGCAGAAAAATAACGACAAAAATATTCTTCAATGGTACTTATATTATCACACGAAAAGGAGTTTTTATCACGTTGTACGTGTTTAGCACCGCGCGAAAACTGATCACGTCTGCAAGAATTCGAAGAAGAAGAGATGCAATAATACGTTCATGATATACTGCGTCACTTATTGCAATATATAACATGAGTTATATCTCGCTTTTATAGACTCAACATAAACATTTGTATCATAATTACAAATTTTTAGTCGTATTTTTAGTCATTTTTCTTGTGAAATTATTCGTATCTTTCAAGAAAGATAGACTGAATCATAAAAAATAAAAGGCGTATAAAGAAATAATAGAAAAGATAAAAGCATATAAGAAAAAATATTTTTAAAAAGATCAATTTAGGGATAGTTTATTTAAGGAAAATTTATCAAAGGAGAGAAAATTTAATTTTTTCTTATTCAAAATTTTAGAAAACTTTTTTTGATTCTTTTAAAGAGTATAACTTCTTCTTATTAAACTTAATTCAATGATTCAAGAATATTTTATAAATTAAATTATATTTAATTAAAAAATTAATATGTTTCACACACATACATTAAGAATTTAATTTCATTCAATATTATATTTTTTATTTCACATATTAACATTTTTTTATATTAACCTTTATCTTGACTTAATTAACAATAAATCATAATTTGTATTGACTTAATTTAATTCTATTAGTTTAAGACATAAACTTTGTTTGCAATTTTATAGAATACAATATCAAATATGTTCATTAAAGAATTGCATTCATAAATTATATTTTATTTCATCGGTTCATATAGATAAAATTATCGTAAGCAGTATACAAATAATACCCCTGTATAGTTAAAAAATATTTGCGGAGATCAAAATATCTGCGTATTACGGTGCATTAGTAACGTTGCACGAGACTAAATGCAATGTTTAACTTTTCCAAGTGATAATATGAAATATACGCAGATATTTTTCACATATACTTGAAACGATATACACGTTCATAATTCAAGCTCTTGCACCTGCAAAGCATAAATTGCATGATAAGGAAATAACAAATACAGTTGTTCGTGAATGTGAATCCGTTTTTTAAATTTTAAGGTACATCTGCGATTATGTCACAATATTGTCTGCCTAACAATGATCTAATGAATTGATGTAGACCAGCCAGATATACATTGATAAACGTGTGATTACTCAATTAACAAGTTGAACAGCTCATTTGCAAGTGAGAAATACAACTGGAAAAATTAGATATAATTTTAATCAAATTGTTAAGAGCAACTTAAATTTTAATAAAAATTTTATTGCTGTATTACAATTCATTTTAGCAATAATATTTTCATACTATTTTTAACTATGTATAAAATAATTAGAAAGACACAAACATATAAGAGATAAATTTAAAATAAATACGGCGCGGAAAATATTTATTGTACATTTAGATGAATTATTTTCATTTTTATGAGAAAAAAAAACTTAAAAAGATGGATTTCTCAATTTTACATATTCCATATAATTAATAAATGTATATATATCAATTTTTATAATAATAATGTATTAATGATAACTATACACAATTATAAATCCAAAAGTTTTTCATGATAGTACGATACTACATAATAATTTAAAGGAAAAAACTTAATATATATTTTTACTTTTTTATTATTATGTTTACTTCGAGAACGAAAATTTATAAAATTTATGTATAATTTTTCATTTTTAACAAGCAACATATAATCATTCTATGTGATGGTATGTAAAAGTATGGTCTCTCAGAAAGAAGATGACAATGATAAATGATATTATGATAAAAACGGCAACGTACAGCAGTCTTTTGATTACATCGCAATATATTTATGATGATATTTCTGTTACTATTACTTTTGCTTCTTCTTTTGTTTCTTTGCATAGCTACTTTTAAATTAGCATTATCCAACTATTAATAAACTTAATCATTTCTGCAATTAACTTTTTTAATAGAAATAAGCCTAAAAATTTCGATTGTATAGAAGAAAATTTAAAAGAAAACGAGTTTCTTTGAATATCTTTCAAAAATATTACTTTACAGTAAAAAATTAAATTTTTATGATTGTTCGTAAAGTATAATGTATATAATTTTTTAATAAGAACATATATTACAACAATTGTAATTATTACATCGTTTTTCATAAATAATTATTATAATTTATTCGATTAAACAACTTATATTTGCTCGCGGTATTAATCTATGATTTAATTATATATAGTAGATGATATATTTCAATTTAGTAATTCGTAATACTTGTATATATATATATATATATATATACTTATCATATATATATAAATTACAAAATTGTAATTCCATTTACAGAGTTATTAACGATTGTATGTGTGTGAGAGAGACGCAGAAATATCTTACCTGTACTAATTTCCCTAGTCTATCTCAGACTGTTGGATGTAGGAAGGTTTGAGAATTTCCACACGCACTAATCTAATGTACTCTGTCTGTGATATCTTGTTCTCGCTTCTCTTCTGTGCGGTGATAACAGGGCCCTAACAGTTTAAGACCAGCTGCCCTGGTCGTGACACACCAAGAGAGAGCGCAACTTCCACGACGAAGACTCAGCGCAGACTGACGCGGCAGCCGTTCGCCCGTTCGCATGGGTCTGTTTAACCCACACTGTCAGTTACTATTACTACTAGAGTCAAGCGCAGGTATATTAATGTGAAACGTGTGTGTCAAACAGTGTTTCTCAAACTTCTTGCAGACAACTCTATATCGTGCAATGTCCTCTTTCTTTTAAACGTTTCAATATCGAATTTGTAGTCACAAATTGAATTTTCTCTTTAGATAACTAATAAAGAGAGAAAAAAGATTAAATTTCAATTAAAAATATTAAATATAATATTAAATATTAAATATAATTAGATATTAAATAATATACTAAATAATAAGTAACATAAAGTATTACATAAGCAACATTGTTATTTCAATATATTGAGTTAAATAAGAAAGAATTAAAAACAGCACAGAATAGATAAAACATAAAAATATATTTTATCAATTAATTAATTGTATGTATTTGAGTTGATTGATTCGTAGGCTAAAGAATGGTTGATTGATGGTTTTTTTAAAAACCATCCTCTCTTATCTCTTTCTTAATTTGGGAAATTCTTTCTCGGTAAATCATACAAAGTGATCATATTCAAGTAGAACAACAACGTTTATAAAATGTTTAAGAATGGTTATCTTTAAGCTTTAAAATCATTTAAAGTTACTTTAAAAACTGTTTCAGAAATCGATTAAATAACCATATTGTACAAACGTTTTTAAATGATTGTTTTTGTAACGAAAATTATTGAACGAATAACACTGTCCGACAAAATTTGATCTTTTTTTCCTGCGGCGAGAAGGATAAGTATTTGACAATTGTGTGTCCGTTTCAACCTGTGTCCGATTGGAACTGTGTCCGATGGAAGTTGTCGTATGTTCCTTTCAATCTATGTCCGATTGGGTCCATAGTGTGTCCGTTTCAATCTGTGTCCGATTGAGACTGTGTCCGATATTTTTTGTGCGCATCTGGGACCCTCCCCATATAAATGACAGATGACATAGAATTTAGATTTGTGCTATAAATTCTATGCGTATGATACTTGTACATAATTTTCTATCAGATACAAAAAAAAACAGCTATAATTCTAGCTGGAGCAGCAAAATATTTTTTTGCTTGTATAATGGTTTTTATACTGGTTCCATAAATGTTTAAGTAACTGTTATTTTTAACATTTGCTACACGAACACTTATAATGTAGATATTATAAAAACATTTACTTGTAATCATTCTGCAACGTTACAGAAAAAACGTTTTTTTTTTCGACATTTTTATTCTACTTGAGATATGTATTAGTATAGATGAACTTTTGAAGTAAATTATTCTACAGGAAAAAGACTTATCGTCATCTGCAGAAGTCAGATGTATTATTCAATCGATATAATTTTCCTTATTCTTTTTTCAATGAAACACATCGCCATGAATCTATCGAGAAAACACACGTGAGAGATTCTGGCTTATTAATTGATTTACGCCAATTTCGTAGAAAAATCCTTCTGGGGAATTTTCAGAATGTTGATTACAAACTATTCGACGGTGACGTGCAGCGTAATAAAAAATTAATAGCAGCAATAAGATAATCAGGACTGGTAACATCTCCGACTAACTGTTGCTTTGATTGCATTGCTAATAAAACATCTTATTTGGAGAAATGGTACATTTAATGCGCTCACATCGAGAGGAGTTTCTCTCAAAAAATATATTTATGAATCGTATAATATTTCTCTATCGGTATTTTCTGTGTGTACTTTGAATTAAACTATATGATGGTATCAATGCTGATTTATCGACGTCACGTGCCAAGTATAAATGTGAGATTGTGTTTCGTTTCCATCACTGAAAATGCTTAATCTATTGATCGTTCACAAATGACAAAGAATTAAATAAAAATTTAATCCACATGACAAATATATAAGTGCATTTAAAATAAAAATAGGTTATAGATAATAGCAACAGATAATAGAACATACAAATTACTATACACTTCAATAATTTAATATAAATTAAATACAGACGTACTATATACACACATATTATATTTGTAATAAATTATACGTATGCATAATTTTATTACAGATTGTAACGTTGTTAACATAAAATTGTATAAATCTGAATAAGAAGAGTAAAAATTTTCGAGGGTTTCGTCACCGCTCGGGGATTATTTTATTTCTATGTTTTCTTATGTACTTTTCTTTGTAAAAACCGTAAATTATCATTTCAATAATGGAAAAATTGATGAATTGAAATAAACTTTTTCTATTGAAATAAAAGTGAATAAAATCCTTATTTGCATCGTTATAAAATCACTATAGAGAGTGTCAGTTATGCTTCAACAATTTATTTGGAGTTAATTCCAAATTGGATCAAATGCGAGTAATATTGCACCACAAAACGTTAATTACATTATGTTTTTCATCATAACATTTATCATCTTAATTTTTTTCACTCCAAGTATCGCATCGCTTGGAGTGGAGGAAAACGAGATGACAGATGAGAAAAGTACATAAGAAAACAGAAGTAAAACAAACGCAAAGTTTGAAATAAGAGCTCTTTCAGAGAGCATTTTCCATCGAGTATATCAAGAACATTGTAAATCGCTTAAACATTTATACGATTACACGATTACGCATTTATTTTCAGCATTAAATTATTCTTTATAATCATCTTAATCTTCTACAATATTGTACATATCCGTCTTTACTTTTGCCTTATGTGTATATAAAAATATAAATATTGATAATAATTATCTGAATATAGCGACTCAAGAAAATAAGCTTTATTAAGAATGAAGACGATTAATGTAAAAGTAAATTTACATATTTGTTATAGATTTGAGAAAGGTAAAAGTAATCAGTATTAAATATTAATTTAATCAATAATAAAACCAAGGAGAAACAGAAATAACTGATTGCAGAACAGTTTTCAAATATAATATGTGTAGTTACATTGTGTGCATCTTCTCATTGAAAGTGAAAAGACGTATAACGATCGAAACTGCAACAGGTAAATGTCCGAAGAGTTAGCTATAATTTATTTATGAAACAATGTTCGTATTATCGAATACTTTTTATTTGAAGCTTGTATCGCTTCGCGGTGGAACAAGATGAGAATAATAAGTTCGAGGTCCATGGAACGATCTAGACTTCCGCCTAAAAGTAATTCCGATAAGAGATAACGCACATCATATTTTTCCTGCAATCGTAAAATCGATGTAATTGTTAAATTAGTGAACACTTCAAAAGCATATCTTGTAGGTCTATCGAATCAACATAATATTTGAGTTCGAAAAGAGTTAATGATTTAGAAAGAAAAATTTCCAAAAGACAATTTTGGGATATACTCCTTCCTTTAGAGCATTTTTTTAATTTCACAGCATATTTTAGGCGCTTAAAAAGGGATTTTTACAGCATAATTTTAGGATATACTTCTTCCTTTAGAATATTTTTTCAATTTCACAGAGCATATTTTAGGCACTTAAAAAGGGATTTTTACAGCATAATTTTGGTTGCCCTATACATAAGATATAATATTTAAAAAACAGTATTTTATATATACAATTGCATAATTCTCGAATAACTGTAGCTAAAAAACACTTAGATTTCAAAAAAATGTCGAGTGTTCGATAAATAAATAATGATTATTTATAGGTCTTTTATCGAACGTTATAATAATTTGATTATTGCTCGATTGTAAAATTAGTAAGCATAAAAAAAAAGCAAGAACACTGTTCGTCAAGAACCTTGTGCATATGGCCATCGCTCTTCTCATACCCTTCTCCTCTTTCTCACAGTCTCATTCATCCATCAAGGCCACCCGGTTTTAAATGCGGAACCGTTCATCAGTATAGACGTCATTTAAATACTCCCAGATTTCCGTACTTCCTAGCAGTACGTTCAAGTTTTGGTTTGTATGTAATTTTCGACTTATATACGTGTTATAAATAGGGTTAAGTAAATCATTAAATTATCTCATGCTAACGATAGATATTTGCTTTCAGGTATCAACTAGGCGCCACTCAACGTTTGTAAGAAGAATTAGGATACATTATCGATGCTTCTTAATCGTCTCATTGCCTTAGGAGAAAATATTCCCAAGTAGATGGTAGAAATAATCAGCACAACTACGACCAACGTTTTTTCTACTTTAACAAAACCTCCACGCGTCAAAGGATACACTTTGTTACATGCATGTTAATAAAGCTGTCGATTTATCAAACACATGCAACATATGGCAGCGTAATATCAATATTCTTCGTGGGTATAATGATATGCGTACATGATATCAATAACAACGCCTCTAGATTTCAAATAGAATAAAATTGAAATCATCACTACAGATATAACTTACATTATAAATTTAAATTTGTTTACGATATAAAGTAACTTCGTAGATATTTGTAAACATAGTATTTATACAAATATTTACTTTAAATTTTTAAATATTATTTAATGTAAAAATATTAAATAAATATTAAAAGAAATTTTTTTAATGTGTACTGATTTGAGAATTAAGATATAAATAAAAATAAAAATATAATATATATATATATTTACTTAATATATAAATATTAAGTAAAATGAAATTCACGATATATTATGCATTATTATTATTATATATTATTGTAATTTGATCCGTATAAGATTTTGTGAAAAATAAATTAAAAAACGATTAAATAAACATATACTTTTCTTGTCTATGTTTTATGTATGATCTTTAATAATTTAATGTATTTCCTACAAATTCTTGTACGAATCAAGTTATAGATATAGTACAGGAAAAGGTGGTATTATGGTCATAGTGTATATATTATGGCCTCCCTTAATATCTCCACTATTATATAGTGAATCCTAATGATTACTTATTGAATTATTAGTTCAAAGCTCGCCGTTACATCATGACGCTAATATTATTAATACTCAATAGCCAGCGCTTATAACGCATTTTTACTTTCAAGTATTTCGAAACGTTTCTGAGGTACACTTTAGCATTTAATTACACCTACTTCCGAATTTTTCTTAAACTTAAGCATACTATCATATTATC